TCCTCCCATTTGGACAATGCGGATGGACGTTTTGCTGATGTCTTTGGTAAGTTCCCCTGGCTCTAGGTGAAGAGTCCCCTGCATATCCACGGCTGTTTGCCAAGGGACTTTTCCTGCTTTGTTGAGGCCAGGGTCTGGTTTGAGGCCAGAAGCTCTTCAGAGTCCCAAGAAATCAGCCCAGACTCAGGAGTGGAGAGACTACTCTGAGGTGTGCCAGGTCGGGACTCTGGGTTTGTTCCCTTCCAGCTGCACCCCCACCGAGGTCTCAGGGGGCATGGAGCCCTGAGTGACTGACTGACGGGGAGGTGTCATGACTGGTGGAGGATGCATGCAGGCTTCTCATGCAGGTGCCCCATCTGGCCTTGTGCTCCTCCTTGTGCACCTGCCGGTTAGGAGGCAAAAAGTGTTGTACTTGCAGGTGACCCTGATGTCCCTGAATCTTGCCCTACATGTATTAGAACAGTGAATGCTTATATATATATATAGAAATGAGAGTTGGGTTCAGGGTTTCAAAGGATCTTGTCATACCTCAACCTCCCCAGGGAACCACCACTTTGTCAGTTTCATAGCACTGGGGGTACCACTGATCTTGGCTGCTTCTGTTTGGACATTTTCAGGAAAGAGTAGATCAAAGCATATCAAGGTAGAAGTCAGAGACAACAAATTACCATTTTCTTTAGTGAACTTGATTTATTTTCTTGTGTTTCTATTTCAAATGAAGGAAAAATTTTTAAAAGATTTATTTATTTTTATTGGAAAGTCAGATATACAGAGAGGAGGAGAGAGAGAGGAAAGGAAGATTTTTCCATCTGCTGCTCCACTCGCCAAGTGTCTGCAATGGCCGGAACTGAGCCGATCCAAAGCCAGGAGCCAGGGGATTCTTCCAGGTCTCACATGTGGATGCACAGTCCCAAGGCTTTGGACCATCCTTGACTGCTTTTCCAGGCCACAAGCAGGGAGCTGGATGGGACGTGGGACCACCAGATTGGAACCAGCTCCCATATGGGATTCCACTGCGTTGAAAGCGAGGCCTTTACTCACTAGGCTACCATCCCATGCCCTTTACATGAAAGAAAACTTTAACATAGCAGCTCAAAAAACTTGGTGGAAGAATGATTGTGCAGAGCAAGCACAGACTTAATTTTTTTTTCTGGACTAAATATGAATGCCTCCTTTAATTTTGCTTTCCAGAAGCTTTTTGATTTATTTATGTGAAAGACAGGGCTAAGAGTGAATGAGTGAGTGACAGGCATATCTCTGTTCCATTTGCTGGATCCTTCCTTGATGGCTAGTCACCAAGATGTTCTTGACATAATGCCGGAGCTTCATCCATTCTCCCACTTGGGTGCAGAGGCTCAAGCACCTGGGTTTCCTTCTGCTGCTTTCCCAGGTTCATTAGCAGGGTACTGAGTTGGAAGCAGAGCAGCCAGGACTTGATCCAGTGCCGAGATGGGATTGTGACACTGGTCATTGGGTGGTTTACCCACTTTCCCACAGTGTCAGCTTATAAGGACAGCTTTACCCTGTGGGTAGGCACATGTTGTGGAGTGTTGTGTTCAGGTACCTTCCTGCTCTGTGTCCCTCTGTGATGGCTTGAGGCTGGGGAGAAGGTCACAGGTTGTTTAGATGACCTTGCTATGGGATATCCGTGGTATGCAGCAGCCCCTGAATGACTGTGTCGGGACTTCCCAATGATGTTTATAGTTCTTGGAGCTAGTGTCCTCAAGAGGTGAGTAGCAGTATCCTGCATGCCATTTGCCTGGGTGCTGGGCCTCTTGGGGATGCTTTGAGCCTAGGTCATTGCTGAAGGGTGCTGATGACACTACCCACCTGTGTGGACATGTATGAGTTTGGGAACCCAGCAACTCCTGTGATCAACCAAAGTAAGAACTTAGCTTCCCAGGCAGACCAGATCACTCCCCACTGAGGTTTGTTCCACCGTGTGCCTGTGCCCTGAGCAACATGGGCCTGGCTAGTGTCTTTCCTCTCCTTTGTTCCTCAGCCCTTGCTGCACTGGTCTGCATGCCTGTGTGGGTGGGTGTGTCTGGTGATGCTTACATGTAGGCTTCTGGTCCTGCCCTGTGTCTCAGGGCTGCAGAGAAGGCCTGGTCTCACTAGGCCCTGAGTCCCCCAGCACCTCATAGAGTGAGTGCCTGTGCAGAGGCAGAGCTTAGTCAAGCCTGATGTATGAATGACAGAATTCATACTCCCAGCCTAAAGGCATGGTGACCTTCAGGAACTTAGGCTTGCTTCTTCCATCAAGTGTCTAGGATCATCTCAGCAAGGCCAAATCCCTGTGTTCCTGGTGCCTGTGCCAGCTAACAATGGACTTGGCTGCAGTTCCTGAAAACCTGTCAGTGGATCTCAGTGCCTTTGAAGGGGCTTTGTCCTAGCCACATGAGGACAGAGGCTGTGGCTTTGCTGTCATATTTGACTTGATGGTCAGTTTCTCTAAGATGTTCAGGGTCTCTTCTGGTGCTTGTATCTGTTGATCATCCAATGGCTTCTGCATCTCCAGATGTCACCCCTGCTTTCCAAGCATGGTGAAGAGGAGAGGAGGGGGTAGGGATACAGCATCAGATTTCCTTTCTTTTATATTCAGAGCAGCACCAGTGTCCCTGATTACCAGGGGTCATCTGGCTGGCCCATGGCTCTGTTCAGACTGCTAAGGAGAATGGTAGAGGAAGTGTGCATCTCTCCTTGAGTGGCCCTTGCAGCTGGAAGCTCAGTTAGATATGGCAGTGTTGGCAGTTGCTGGTGATGAGTGCTCACAGAATTGGTGGAGGACACCTCTGGTTTTTGTCTGGTTAGGAATGTGTTTCCCTCAGAAGTCTTTTTTATTCTCTGCCTACCTAGTTCAAGTGGTGTGGTACTTGCCCTGAGTGGAAGCCTGCTGATGTTTACTAGCTGGCTTGGGCTATTGCTAGAGGAAGATGGTGATGAGTGGTTCCAGACATGTTGCTTCCAGAATGCTCCTCATCTGGCTGTCTTCAATATGCCTCTAGGTTTTGATTTATTTAATGTTCACAAAAGTGACAGGAAACCATACCCACCACAAACAGTGAGGGAAGCAGAAGTCAGAGAGGAAGTTTGGGTTTAGGTCTGTGTGCCACAGTTTCAGGAGCTCTTGCTGTGAAAAGCTTCCTGGGAAAGGCACTAACATTTCAAAGGAAAGAAAGGAATGTGTGAACAGGGATGAAGCCAGTCTTAGAGATGTGGGTTAGGATGACCACAGGAACAGAGGGGAAGAAGACAGTGGTACTGAGAGCCACAAGGATTCGGGGGAAAATTCCAGCCCCGTGTCATGTTTCCCACCCAGGATCTCTTGAGCAATCTCAATATTTCTGATGAGGCCAGTAGCAGGAACTTCCCTACCCAAGACTGAGTGTGCTAGAGTTTAACCTCCTGTAGGTTTCAAGTCTGCATCATGTCTTCATGTGTTTGTGGATCATTTTAGGAACTGATGTAGCAAACTGAATGTATCCCGCCTTGTTGAGGTTTGACATGCCATTGTTTGTTTCCCTAGATGATATTCTATCGCAAGTATCTAATGAGCCAAGTGAAACTTCTTTTGAAGAAGTAAAACCGACAGACTTATCGTCTTTGGTGGAAAACATGAAGGAAGGCAAGTATATGCTGGGAACACGCAAAATGCACCTATTTCTATAGGCTTGTATTTGGTGTGAAGTGTGCTACTCTGTCACATTCGACTTGTTGACCACATCCCAGTGGGGTGAAATTCAAACTCGAGCTGTGAAAGAATTTCCCATATCCTCCCTCTTGCTAACCTTATGAAATCATGATCTCAAGTGGAAGCGCATATTTATGAACATTGATGAACTCAGATGTTCATAGTCCAGGAGTCTGATTTGCGATTGGGTTCAGTTTCTTCTAGCATGAGCTGTGAGTGAGGTGATAGCTTTCTGTGTAGTGGCTGTTTCAAGCAAATTATCCATGTGTGCACTCGTCACTGTTGCTGAGGTGGGGAGACAGAGCCTTCCCACATCCCACCCCATTGTCCCACTCCTGCTCTAGCTTCTGTAAGATATGTAGCCAGAGCACTGGGAGACAAAGGATGGGAAGCAGCAGCAGCAGGTGACTGCATATGTAAACAGATAGGTGGTGGGGCAGGGATGATATTTGGTCTAGTGATGAAGATGCCATTTAGGATGCTCTTGTCTCACACTGGAGTGCCTGGGTTCCATGCTCCACTCCTGACTCCAGCTTGCTGCTAATGCACACACTGGGAGGCAAGGCACTGGTGGCTTAATAGGTACCACAGTGCCAGACCCATAAATACATTTTTAAAGTTTTGCTTCATTCCAACACCATATAACAGAGAAAGCCTTATGCAAACACATGTGCATGGGGAAGAAAATTGGAAACAGGCAGGTTCTTGTTAGGATACAGGCATGTGTCCTGTGTTGGAATTGTGAGCATGTATGTAATTTTACGCTTCAAGACCCTGCTGATGTCTTTCTTAAGTCACTTGGTTAGGAGAGAAGAATTTGACTATGCCAGTGTGATAGCTTGGCCTTTTCCCCGTTGGATTTCCTTCCTTTGCTTAATATGCTAGTGAACATTCCATTAACAGAATGCTTACAGTGTTAAATATGTCTGTCTGCAGTGATTCACCAATGCCTTATTCCTGGGGAACTATGTGTTTGTCACTTATCAAATGCAAGTAATTCTTGAAATCATTTGCTATCAAGCAGACACACCTTTGTACCAATTTTCCCGTTGGGGTCACACTGTCCTATGCACAGATTACTGAATTGCTGAGTGTGTTGTCTGCTGGGAAGGCATGGGAAAGATGAAGGTTGTGACTGGTTGTGTATTGGAGTTCTTGCAGACACTTTGTGAATGCTATGTGGGTGCAGATCAACCACACACTGTTCCTCTCAAAAACACCATGGGGACAAACATCAAAGAGAACAGGTGCAGGTCCAGTGAAAGATTTAACCACAGCTGAGGTTTCTTTCTCATAGATACTTCTCAGTCAAAAGGCTCTGACTTTATATCAAGTTCCATTATGAATGATAACAACGTCTTGGTTGAGTTAGTTGGTAAGTAACCCCTGAATGTGAAACCTTGAGGCTGTATTTAGAGAGCCATGCGCTTGTCAGGAGTTATTTCCCAGACAACCTGTACCTGCTGCATTCCCAGCGGTGCCAAGCACTTCTTCTTGACCCTAGAATCTATCCTTCAAGTGTAAGAATCCCAAGAAATTATGCAAAATATGGGAGACATGAAGGTGGAAAGGGCCCTGCTTCTCACCCCAAGTTCCAAGTAGGGGAGCAGGATCACCACCCCCTGGGGGGGGGGCTGAACTCTTCCTGGGAAGAGAGTGAAGAAGTGAGTTCTTGTGTGTGGTGAGACTCTGCATGATGATTTTAACTCATTCCTGGTGACTCTATGCTGTGACCATTCATCCACCCCAAACCTGTCAATGACATTTTAAAGGACACAAAGATTAGATGGGCCATGGTGGGGGTGAGATGCTCTAGAATTGTATTCCTTTATGAAAACTGTCATGACCACAGTGGGGGTGGGGTGCTGGAAGGTGGGAAGAAGGCTGTGTGATGGCACAATTGGCTAATCCTCCCCCTGTACGTGCTGCAGTACCACATGAGTGCCAGCCTGTGTCCCAGCTACTTACTTTCCATCCAGTTCCCTGTTTGTGGCCTGGGAAGGCAGCAGAGGATGGCCCAAAACCTTGGAATCACACATGCATGTGGGAGTCCCTGGGGAAGCTGCTGGCTCATGGCTGCAGATTGGCTCCATACCAGCCCCTTGGGGGAGTGAACCAGCAGATGAAAAATCTTTCTGTCTCTCCTTCTCTCCGTAAATCTGCCTTCTGAATTAAGATAAATTATAAATCTTAAGTAAAAGAAAGAAAACTGCCATTGAATTGGCAAGAATACCTTTTAACTAACCTGGAAAATGGTAGTCTACTAAGGACACTTTTCTCAAGGTGAGCTCATTTTGGTACATTTTGAAGGCGTACTTTGGTGCATTTCAGCACTTCATATTTGGCTACCATTCTGCAGCCCTGAGTCCTGGAAGCTGAGTAGCTGGCGGTTCACATTCCTGTTGAAGTTGGCTGGTGCCAATGTGGCCAAACCTGCACTGTTTGTTTTGTGTGCTGCTTTGAATCACTGCGAGGCTGGTACTGGGCCTGGCCATTGTTTAAGGCCTTAGGATTGACCAAGCTAGCAGGCAGTTCTTTGGAGGAAATTGAGACAATATTTTCAGTTTTCTCTTTTTGAGAATACTCTCAAAGAGTTTCAGAAAAGCTTTGTCAGGTTACTGACTAGTTTCACAAATACTAAAGCTTTGCAGGAACAGTTTGAAAAATTCACTCCACTCCCTAATGAGCAAAAATCAACAATAAATGAGTAGTGAGAGGGTTAGATTTTTTAGAAAGATATTTTAAAATTTATTTGTACTGGTAAGTCAGATATACAGAGAGGAGAGACAGAGAGGAAGATCTTCTGCCCACCGATGATTCACTCCCCAAGTGGCCATAATGGCTGGAGCTGAGCCAATCCAAAGGCAGGAACCAGCATCTTCTTTTGGGTCTCCCACTCGGGTGCAGGGTCCCAAGGCTTTGGACCATCCTTGACTGCTTTCCTAGGCCACAAGCAGGGAGCTGGATGGGAAGTGGGACCTCCAGGAGTAGAATTGGGGCTCATATGGGATCCTGGCACATGCAAGGCAAAGGCTTTAGCCACTATGCTACCATGCCAGACCCAAGGACTTCAAAATTTTTAGTGTTACCAAAATACAATTGTCTGGATGTCCATAAACTAGAAAGAGATGGAAGAACAAGATGGCATGGTTCATAAACTTCCTTTTGCAGGGAATCTGACAGAACCCTCATGAGCAAGCTGGAGCATTAGCCAGAGATAGGGTGACCTCCTTTGGGGCTCCATGGAGAGAGAACTTAAGTTAAATAAAATGAGAATATCAATAAAGCGGTCAGAATTTGTGAAAAAGAACCAACTATAACTAAAGTGAGAAACTCACTCAAGGCTTTCATCAGCTGACTTGAAAAGAAAAAGCACAGGATCAGTAAACCTGAAGATAATATGTGGAAATTATCCTGTGAGAGAATGGAAAGGAAGGAAATAAAAAAGAACATGAGGAACTTGTGGGAACAGGTGCTTCATCTAGATCTCCCCCATGGGTGGCAGGAGCCCTTTTAGTTGGACCCACCTCCACTGCTTTTGTCAGGCCATTAACAGGGAGCTGGATGGAAAAGGAGCAGCTGGCACATCAGCCAAAGTCCATATGGGATGCTGGCATCGCAGGCCACAGCTTAATCCATTATGCTACAATGCTCCTTATATAGATGAATCTAAAGGCCACTGTTTTTGTAGTTTTGGTTTGATCTGTAACCTCTCTCTTTCCTATGTAAATTGAAACGTAAACGGGTGAAAAAAAATTATCTATGAACATCAAAGTTTTAAAATGTGTTGCATGATAGTATTATGAAGTGTATGTAAATAGGGACTGAGTAGAGAATTGGTGTGCTATTTGAATTAACTGATACTATTCAAACTGGATTGCTTCAGGTTTAAGATAAAGTGTTTAAGTTCAAGTTTAAATTAGGTTTGTCTTAATTACTTTATGGAGTACCCAGAGAAGTCACTAAGAAAGTAACCTTAAAAACCATAATGTGGGCCCAGTGGTGTGGACTAGCAGCTAAAGTCCTCGCCTTGAACATCCCGGGATCCCATATGGGTGCATGTTCTAACCCCGGCAGCTCCACTTCCCATCCAGCTCCCAGCTTGTGACCTGGAAAAGCAGTCGAGGTGGCCCAAAGACCCTGCACCCATTTGGGAGACCCGGAAGAGCTCCCGGTTCCTGCCTTCGGCTCAGCGTAACACCGGCTGTTGCAGTCACTTCGGGAGTGATGTTTTTTCTGTCTCTCCTCCTCTATATGTGTGTCTGACTTTGTAATAGAAATGGATGAATCTAAGAAAAAAAAAAAAGAATCCATGTTTATTCAGTTTACAAGATTCACTTGTGTATTGGACAAAAAGAGGTTCAAAAAGGTGGAAAAAAATGTAATTCAGGAAAATAATAGATGAGAAGGAGCAGAGGCAACTAGGTTTTATATAATACCATTTATAAGAGACAAAGATTTGGAGATTTCTCTACCTGCTTCCTTTTTAAAAAGATTATTCATTTGAAAGGCAGAGTGAGAGAGTGAATGACAGAAAGAGAATCTCCTTCCATCCACTGGTTCACTCCCCAAATGGCTGCAGTGGCCAGAGCTGGGCCAGGCTGAAGCCAGGAGCCAGGAACTCCATCCTGACCTCCCACTTGGGTGGCAGGGGTCCTCTCTGCTCTCCTAGGCTCATTGGCATGGAGCTGGATTAGGAATGGAACAGTCAGGACTCAAACCCATGCTTTGTTTTTATTTATTTTTGCTTTTTTTTTTTTAAATTTGAGGGTTTCTGGGAGAGAGAGAGAGAGCTCTTTCATCTACTGGTTCACTCTCCAAATGGCCACAGTGGCCAGAGCTGGACTGCTGTACAACCGGGAGCCTGGAGCTTCTGAGTCATCCAGGTGGATGCAAAAGAACTTGGACTTTTCTCCTCTGCTTTCCATGCCACAAGAAGGGAGCTAGGGGCCAGCATGATGGCCTGGCGGCTAATTCCTTGCCTTGCAACTGCTGGCATCCCATGAGGGTGAATCCTCTCTTGAGCCCTCGTTCAAAACTTTCAGCTTGATGTACATGGAGGGTCTAGACTTAGGAGCTAGCACTCTTAGGCTCCTAGAAGAAAATTAGACAATATTGATGGTCTTCAGGTGAGGCATTGGCATCTTAAATGTGATCCCCAAAGCACAGGCAGAGGAGACTAATTAGATCAGTGAACATGCTCTAAGTGAAGAGCGTTGGTGCACCAGAGGCATGGATGTAATTGACTGGGAGAAGGCATTTGCAGATCACCTGTCTGATCAGGGCCTGGGGTGGGCTGAATGGGGGAGTACTGCGCAACGGGAGCCTTAGTTTCTGTTGGGGGTGCTCAAGAAATTGTGGGGGAAAATGTGATATTCAAACCATACTGTGAATATTCCTAAAGTTCTTGAGTCGTACATCTAAAAATACTTCAAATGCAAATTTTGTTATGCATGTCTACCACAACACAACATAAAAAGTAAAGAGTTTGGAAAGCAATAACGAAAGCAGTCATATTTAGCAGAGAGCTGTATCATTTCTTCAGGTCCTCTTAAACTCGCTATTTTAGGAGCTTAATTACAAAATATATGAATTCTGCATTGCTGATTTAAGCATGCCTTTGTCTCATTTAAGATGAAATTCTGAAGCAGACATCATTCAATAATTCCTCTGAGGTACCACCTGAAGAAGCCACTACAATAGGCAAATCAATTACAAAGAGAGATGTAAATGAAGGTAAGTGTATGTCAGTAGACATGTAAGTTCACTTAAAAAAATATTTATCTTTATTGGAAAGTCAGATTTACAGAGAGTGGGAGAGACAGACAGGAAGGTCTTATGTCTGCTGATTGACTCCCCAAGAGAACGCCATGACCTGAGCTGAGCTGATCCAAAACCAGGAGCCTCTCTGGGTCTCCCATGTGGGGTGCAGGGTCCCAAGGCTTTGGGCATTCTCTACTGCTTTCCCAGGCCACAAGCTGGGAGCTGGATGGGAAGCATGGCTGCCAGGATTAGACCTGGTACTCATATGGGATCCCGGGATGTGCAAGGCGAGCACTTCAGCCACTAGTCTACTACACCAGGCCCATGTGCACATTTTTATTAGGCTCTGTATTTGCTATTAGCTTTACCTTCTTGAAACAAGCTTTTGTGAGACAAAGGTAGACAATGTGAGGTCTCTGACTAAACTTCTATCCACAACATGGAGTCTGCGGTCTGAAGTATAATCACGCCTGTATTCTAGTATGACCTTTGATATGAGGGGCCAGACAGGTCCTGCCATTGTGGATGTTGTTTAGGGGATTAGATTTGAAATGGAGTTTATCATTGCTGGCAGCGCAAACCCTGGGTGAAATTCTTTTTTAAAAATATTTATTTTATTAATTTTTATAAGTTTTTTAAAATTTTTTAAGATTTATTTATTGGAAAGTCAGATATACAGAGAGGAGGAGAGACAGAGAGGAAGATCTTCCGTCCGATGATTCACTCCCCAGGTGACCGCAACGGCCGGCACTGCCCTGATCCGAAGCCAGGAGCCAGGAACCTCCTCCAGGTCTCCCCCATGGGTGCAGGGTCCCAAAGCCTTGGGCCATCCTCAACTGCCTTCCCAGGCCACAAGCAGGGAGCTAGATGGGAAGTGGAGCCTCCGGGACCAGAACTGATGCCCACATGGAATCCTGGCACATTCAAGGCAAGGACTTTAGTCGCTAGGCCACACTGCCAGGCCCCATTTTATTATTTTTAGTAATGTTACTTAATTGATTAGGGTACAAAGAGTCAAGGGCTACAGGAAAGTGGGTAATACCATTGTTTCCACACTAATATCATCATTCCTTTTCCCTGTGTATGGGGTCAGGGGAGATACAAAGGGAGAAGCCCCACCCAGCCTCCCACCCATCCCTGGTCCCAGATGTGAGACACACTCCAAGGGTCCTGCTCAAGCAGTTTTGATAATTCAACAGTTCTGAATTGCTGCCACTCTCGCTGTTGCAAACGCGATGAAATCTATTCAGAATCCACTGGCTGACATAGTCTCTTCCTGGTTGGGGTTCTGAGATCAGCAGTTCAGTTGGAGTGATCTCCAAAGAAACTTTGTCTGAGGTGATCCCAGATGGGTGACATTCTAACTCTATTCCATCCACTCTGTCCTTCCATGTGCCTGATGTGTTGTGGGAGAGTAGGGGAGCGGGAGAGTCCTCAGGGCCCCATTCAGTGGATAAGACAGAACCCCAAGTGTCCTGCCCTGAGCACACAGACAGACAGGACGAATGAAGGTCGTGACTGTGTCCCAGAGCAGTCTCCTAGTACTGAATAACAGGAGTGCTGGGGGGACTGGGGGAACTGGGGGAACTGGGAGAACGACAGATCACCTGAGGCTGGGGAATGAGCCTGGCTGGGTGTTGTGCGTATAGATGTGCATTCATTCCAGTGCCCAATGCCGTTTCCCACCACATCTGCCCTGGAAGCTGCAGGCAGGGGAAGGTGTCCATCTACTCCACAGACTTAACTCTCAGACACATGTTTCTGAAACTCAAATCGACTTCTCTATTGACATTCTGACTTCAGAAACATATGTGCTAAAGGAAATCTCCCCTCCCCCGCCTCACCCCTTGTCTTACCCAAGGAGCTCGTGTGGCTTGCGGGTCTCCTGATGCCAACAACTCTTTCCTCAGCACTGTGGACAAAATCCCTGATTACCAGTAAATGCAAATGGCTAACCTTGGAACTGGGAATCCCTAAGTGACGGTTCTTGTGTCTCTTGCCTGAGTTCAGAAACCCAATGAGAGCCTAGGGCAGGTGTCTGGCAGATGGGGTCTCAGGCTCCCTTATAAATACTTGACTGTGGGAACTTTGGCTCCAGTTGAGCAGAGAGCCCAGCACTGGGGAGGCTAAGAATCCCTGTAATACCCCTGAGGTCATACTTGTGCAAGATGTGCAGGATAACGGGGTAAAAAGAACAAGCTGTTGTTCTCCCAACTCACCCAGGAAACCCTTCTGCCCCTGACGTGAGGGGCTGAGCACTCTTCTGAGTGTCACCCCTGAGTGTGAGGAAGCAGGGGAAATCTCTGTGCCCAGGAGGATTATGGGAAGGTTGACTCTGGCTCATGAGTAAAGACCTGCCTTGCTGCTTTCACTGTGGTGGAAGCAAAATGGCTTGAGTCCAAGGTGAGCAGCTACCACCCCAGGAAGCATCTTTTGCAAGAAAAAAATAAAAGAATAAAGCAGGACAAACATGTCACTGTGCACACTTCCTGGAGGGAGAAGAGATGATGATTGTTTCTCTAGAGCAGCACGTGGCATGGGACCATCTCACTCCACAGTTCGTGTTCCTCCATTTGTCTGTGATGTGGCTCCCGCCTGACTTGGCACCATTTATGTAGACGCTCATCTTGGTTGTAGTGATCTGAGAGGCCTCCTCTAAAATATACTACATGTTCCTACTTAATTTTTTTTCAATCTTAAAGAGTTACAGAACACAAGAGAGACAGAGATCTTTCATGTGCTGGTTCATACCCCAAATGGTCAGTGTAAAGCTAGGAACTTCCTCAGGCTCTCCCATATGGGTGGTTGAGGGCTCAAACACTCGAATCTTGTTTGGTTGTTTTTCCCAGCTTATTAGCAGGCAGCTGGATCAGAAGTGGAGTAACCAGGATACAAACTGACACCTATATGGGATGCTGGCACTGCAGAAGGCAGCCTTGACCTGGAGTGCCACAACATGGACCCCTTAAGTATTGTTTGAAAAGATTTGTTTGAGGGCCTGGTGCAGTGGCCTAGCAGCTAAAGTCCTTGCTTTGCACATGCTGGGATCCCATATGTGCGCCAGTTCTAATCTCGGCAGCACCACTTCCCATCCAGCTCTCTGCTTGTGGCCTGGGAAAGCAGTCGAGAATGGGCCCAGAGCCTTGGGACCCTGTACCCGAGTGGGAGACCCTGAAGAGGTTCCTGGCTTCTGGCTTTGTATGGCTCAGCTCCCGGCTTTGGATCGGTGTAGCTCTGGCCATTGCAGCCACTTGGAGAGTGAATCACTGGACAGAAGATCTTTCTCTTTGTCCCTCCTCCTGTCTATATATATCTGACTTTGCAATAAAAATAAATAAAATCTTTTTTAGAAATTAAGAAAAAGATTTATTTGGAAGGCAGAGTATTTTATTCTTATTTTGTTAAAATTTTATTCCTGATGATGCTTACATAGTTGAGGAGGACACATACCTATGTGGACCACTGATTTGGGTGGGACTGGGAGAGAAATAGGGGAAAATGGGTGAGACAACTGTTTCAAATTTTTTTCTTCTTCCTGTATCTGGGGGAAGGAAGGAGAGAAGGGAAGAGAGTGGTTCCCAGCGGCCTAATCATATCAGTACCCTGGGATGCAGGACAGCCACTGATGTCATGCCAGGGTCCCTGATGTGTTTCCTGTTGTGAGGGCACTGCTTAAGTTGTTTCAATAGTTCTGAGATGCTGTTGATTTCATTGCTCCAAGGTTGAGGAAATCCTTCCAAGGTCCATTGACTGACACAGTCAAACTTGGAGTTTCCATTTGCCCAGATATTTGCTTTCAATGCTTGGTGGAGAAAGTTGTCCAATTTGTTCTGCCCTCCATCCTCTGCTATGGTATGTCCTGCTATGGATGTCCTCTGTGGGCCTCCGTGAGCTGCCATGTGCCCCATGTACACCTGACATGAATCCACTACACTGGTTTCAACAACCAAGGAGGGCCATTTCTGACACATGGTACTCCATAGCCAGACCACAGATCCTGTGATTTTTTGTGGTTGGAGTTGAGAGTCCAGTGGTCCAACTGGGGGAGTCCTCAAAGAAACCTTACCAGAGGTGACCCCAGACCCGACTCCTACGTGTGCCACCAGTGAGGGGTTCAGCTTGTCACCTACATCATATTAGCCAGTAGCTAAAGCTATTCTTTGTCTCTGGGGCCTCCAGTCTGAGTTGGGACACCCGGCAATGAGGTGTTATTCATCTCTACATAAAGGTCCATATCCATACTCATCCCCTAAGAGCATAAAACCAAAAGCTATGATGGCAGAAAGACTTGGTTTTCTCCTTGAGCACAAAGTGAAATCCTCTTGCTTCATATAGGATGAATTTGTTCCAGGAGGAGGGGGTGTGCATGATCGATGACTTGGGTTGAGTCTGTTTTGTGAAACAACAGGGATATTTGCTTACGTGCTTCTGTGCTCACTCTTGTAAAGGGCTGTTGCATCTTTCGTAGTTTGCTTTCTAAAGCTGCAGTGTTTGGAAATCAGTCAGTGTATCTGAGAACCTGACCATCATGGTATGTTCCTTACCACAGGGAAAAAACTCCAAAGGGTGGATGCTTGCAACCTCTTCATTGCTGGTTTTGAGTCTCCAGATCTGCTTCTGATTTTGACTTCCTGTTAATTTGTATCCTGGAAATCAGCAGGTGCTGGCTCAGGTTGCTGGGTTCCTGCCCCCATGTAGGAAACCTGGACTGAGTGCCTGGGTCCTGGCATTAGCCTGGCCCAGGGCCAGTTCTTATAGATAGTTAAGGTGTGAACTTGAGAGTGAAGTCTCTCTTTTGTCTCTGCCTTTCAAATAAATTTTTAAAAATTAACAAATGGTTATAATCACAACTCATCACATGTAATAGAAGTTCTTCAAATTCTCCAAAGATACTTAGGTAAAGAAAACTTTTGACCTTCCTGATGACAGTATATATAGTGACTATGAAAACAAGAGGGTTAATTTTGTTGTGTAGACAGGAGGAGAGTAAATGTGTGTTCAAGGATCAAATCTAGTTGTTTAAAGCTCTGTGCAGGAGCAAGGCAAGCCCACATCTCTATGCACTGACTCCACACTAGCCAGAAGATTCTGTCTGTGGCTGTCACCATCCTGACTGGTTTGACAAGTTGGTCTTTTCCGCGTGAAATGATTATGAGTCACCTTAAATGGGTGTTTTCTGTCTTTTTAAGTCCAATTAGATAAGGAACAAGTCTCCTTTTCCCAAGGAAAGATTAGAACTTCATCCAGCTATCAACACATAAACCAGTTAAAATGGCAGCGCTGGGATTCAAATGCCTGTTACTCTGACCCCATCTTTCTTCAACTGAATCATCCACAAACCCACATGGAGTCTTTTAGGTTTTATTATCAAAATGCCAAAAAGGACAGTGAGTAAGGGAGGGGAGAGAGTGAGTGGGAAGGGGAGAGAATGGGATCTAGGAGCAGACAAGGAGATCTTTCATCCACAGATTCACTCCCCAAATGCTCACAATAGTAGCAAGGGGTAAACCTGGCAGAATGTAGATGGTATTTAAACTCTCCAAAGTTCTGACTTCCAACTTTGAGTTTAGACAAAAATAACTTTCACCATAAGAACTCACCTCAGACCAGTGGTGCTTAATGTTAGATGTGTCTTATGTTTTGTAGATCATGTTTCAGAGGCGATTGACACCAGAGAATCCTCTTTGTACCTCAGAGATGTACAGGGCTCTGCGGCAAGCACGACGGAAACAGCAGTTAGCCGAGGTGAGACTCTCCAGCGTGGACCAGGGAGAGCCGTAAGCGCCCGGACTTGAACATGCATGTGGGGAGATGGAAGGCACACCTCTAATTTACCTTCAAAAGCGGATGATTTGTGGCTAAAATTAAAATCATTCTTGCCATTATCCCTCCACGTCCTGTTTCTCTGATTCCCTTTTCCTGTCAGTCTCGTTTAAAATGGTGATGAGGAGGACAAGACTTAGACATTCCTGATGTCAGCTGGCATCTTTTTCCTTTGAGCTCCAGCTAAGATCCCAAGCCCACCCTTGGTGGCTGCGACCCTCCTGCTGCTAGAACCTGGCACCATCACTGCCTTTTCACCTCCTGTTGGCACTGATGAGATCTGCTCGCACACTCCACCCCCAACCTGCACACATGTGGCTGAGTCTGTAACCATAGGGTTTGCTGTGGCTGGGAGAAAGGAGGAGGGGCGGCAGAGCCAGGCTTATATCACTCAGAAGGCTGGCAGCCAAGTGTTTATCTCCATTGTCCTTACAAGTCTGCAATAGGACGTTCTCACCTCCTCTAGTCTCTCACTTCAGTTCTCCCACATGGTTTCTGGCAGCTTCTTTCTGCTGCTCTATTGCCTGCCAGTGGCTTAAAAAATTCACTTCCCTAAAGGAAGCCAGTTCTTTGGTCAAGAGCACTTGCAGAAGCAGTAGGTGGGTCATGAGGTACTGGTGTTTGCCTGTCTGCTGTGAGCCAAACTCATGGGCTGCCCTGGCAGACTCGGGCTGGGCGGTGGGTAGCAGCCAGGGTCTGTGTGGCTGGCTGCCTCTCTCATGTCTTGTCTACTCTGTGTCATCTTCCGCAGGTGTCCGTGGTGGGAACATGCCCTGTGCGCAGCTGTTAAATTTCATGCGCCACAACATCGTTGTCACCGCTTTTGTCGTGGGTGCTATCTTAATGTCTTTGGTGATTCTGCTGCTTTGGTTCATCTCATGCATCAGAAGACGGCAACCATTGTGAGTGGCTCCCAGCACACACACTCACCCTGATCTTCCTGGATTTAGAAGAAGGGCTGGACTCCCTTCAAAACCAGGCTGTGTGTTTGTGGGCCATTTGTGGGTCTGGACCCCGAGGCATGACCTGGGTCCTAGGTGCTGTCGGGGTGACTGTGTTATACACTGAGGCCTTGGGCTGACTGGATTTGGGCCACCCATGTCCATCAGGCTACTGAAAGAGGAGACCCTGTCACCTCTGTTGCAAAGATGGGAAAACAGCCATAGGCTTGTCGAGAAGAGAAATGGATTGTGACAACAGGTGGGAAGGGATGCAAATGGGGCTGATATTCAGCTGAGTCCCATGGGAGGGGATGTTCCTGGTTGTTGGAGTCTTAAGGAGAGTTCTACTGGTCATGACACACAGTCACTTCAAAAACTATTCCCACCAACTTCTCCCTGATCCTGCACTTGAAGGTTTAACAGCTAGGGCAGTGATGGCCTTCAGAGGCCAGGCTCCAGCAGTGAGCATTTTGACCAGCAGAGTCTATGCATGTGCACCCTTGTTCAGTGCTTGATTAACCCTCTGGATGACAGGGCTCAAGCATGGAACTGTGTGAGCAGACACTAGGATTCAGTTAGCTCACAGGCGTGTGCGCATGCGTCACTGCCTTTTGGAATCCTGTGGCTCATGGTGCATCATTGGGCACCTATCACAGAGGAGGAGCAGCTCCCACACACCTGCTCACTGTGTCTTGTGCTCAGTGTGTCTCCAGAGAAAGGGGACCTGGAGGGCATGTGTGATGAGGGACAAGGTGTCTCCCTTTCAGGCTGTGTTGTTCCAGTTGCCTAGCAAGAAAGGCCCTGCTTTCCCTAATTGCTAGGAGCTCTCCAAGGTTCCCGGAACTGGTACCCACTAAGGATTCAAGATGATATGTTTTAGAGTGCCTGAAACTAAGCATGGTCTCTTTTCACTTGGTTCATCTTTTGGATGGGCTATTGCCCTTCTGCCATGCCCCAGATCGAAGCTGTGCATGGCCTTAGTTTGTCATGGGAAAGTATATCCCCGAAAGAGATATTTCAGCGACTCAGTGCTGCCCAGGAGGAGCAGGGATGCGATACAGGCCAAGCCTTCCTAATAGCAGATGGAATCCTTGCCCCTCCCTTAAGCCCCAAGAACACTAGTCCATCTACCCACCTGGAGAGTTGTTGAGGGTTCCTGCGTAAGTAGCTGAGCGACCTTATCTTTTGTGGTTTGTTTCAGATATCCTCCAGCAAATGTCACCTATAATATATTTATAATGGGAGAAAAAACATGGTGGCAGAAGAATTCTGAGAAATATCTCAGCAAGTTATGTGGAAAGGCGAAGTCGCTGCATTGCAATTCCTGTATCTAACAAAGATGCTGGAGAGGCAGCCAGCCAAGACAGCAGTCTACAGTGTGGGACTATGCTCCATCCAGATCATACAGAGGCAGTCCTACTTCTGACCTCAAGGTGTCCTTGGTAAACACCTTTATCCTGTCCCAGTCCTCAATGGACTAAGAAAACATACTGCATCATAGGATGCTTATGGTGACCTGAGTGTCATGCTTAGTACAGAAGACCATTTTCCCAAAAACCTGATTTTCTGTTACTCATTAATTCAGTTAGTAAAGCATTTGCTAATAAATTCAGGCTATCATTGGATAATTATTCATTGAACACCTAACTAAGATAATAATATCCAAATGCAACAAAGGAACCAAAGATGTTATCTTGCATGGTTCTGCCCCAAGCAGGATTGCAGTCTGGGGTGGCATGAGGGCCTGGCCACACTCAGTATGTTTTCTGGGACGTGGGAATACATAAAGTATGATACAGAGTTGCTACTCAGTTTATGGAGCTCCGTTTGCAGTTAGGCTTTCGTAAAGTTCTATAGCAGAATCAGGCACTTAAAATCAGTGTTTAAAAATTTCCCACCCATGTTTTCTTTGAGTAAGAAGTTGGTGTCCCTGCAATCTGCAGCCATCTTCTTTGTTCAGATTCTCACTTCTAGGCTGCTGAACAGAAACTAAATTCATAGAGGAGACTTCTGTCTTCGTCACAGCATCAGCTCTACACTTCAGAGACTCATTCTCTCTTCCAGGTCAACATGGTCCGCTGACTTGAAATTTCTTTCCATTTTTTTCTGTCTCTGTTAAGATTATTGTGGGAGTGTTTGGTAGCATAAACCCTTGAACATTTTCTCTGCTGGGCATGAGGACAGCTAAAGCTGTTATCATCATCTGATTCTACAGATACTAACATGGGCTCTCAGTGTTTGTTTCTGTGATTGTTGATTTTGCATATTGGAGTTCCATCTCCCATCAGTGGCTGTGTTACAGTGCTCTGTCTTTGGTAATGATCCTTTAGTGTCTGTTTTTCTCTGTGTATCTATTGTCCTGAGAACCTGCCCTGTGTGATAGTGCAGGCTGGTCAGGCAAGTCAGAGAGCTGTGGCAGGCCATCAGTGAGGACAGGCTGGGCTCTCCAACACAAGCTACCAGGCACATGTGAAATTTTCTTCTCCTGGAAGGTCCCCACAGCTGTGCTCCTAAGGCCTATTGATTGATCGAATTAGGCCTACCCAGGTTATTTGGGATACTCTCCTTTACTTGAAGTAACTGAATATAGAAGAACTGTGTAAGAGGCATAGAGACAAAATTCCCATCTGCTGGTTCACTCTCCAAATGCCACCCATGGTTGGGACTGGACCAGGCTGAAACTTGGAGCCAAGAATTCCATCTAACTCTGCCTCATGGATGGCAGCAGCCCAATCCCTTGAGCCATCACCACCATCTCCCAGGGACTGCATCTGCAGCATTTGGAGGCAGGTCCTGAACCCAGGTCCTCAGATGTGGGCTGTGAGTGCCTTAACTAGTAGTCTGAATGCCTGAGCCTTGACTCTAGACTCATCATATCTATAAAATGGCTGCACAGCTGTACCTAGGGTTGATAGTTGAATGAACAGTTGGAGGTTCTAGGCCTCCCAACGTACCCTTCAGTTCCTCACTCATACACATTTCCCTAGGGCATCCTTAACCCTCCAGTGAGCACATACCTCTGCCTAACATGATGCAGCCATTCCTCACACACCTGAAAATACACTCACACGCTCCCCAGAAGAGATGCAACATCATAGGATACTCCTTCCCTCTGATATCCAGGGGATTGCCTCAGATCCCAGCAGGTGGTGATACTGAGAGTAACCCTAAGACATCTTCTGTATTCCAGACAATTTGATTCCTAGCTCCTTTGTCTTGTAGCAGCCCAAGTTTGCACTGGGTAATGCCAGGACCACACGTCCATCCTTGGCCTGTTCATTCAAAGAGCTGAGATGCTCCAAGTGGCCAGGTGGCATTCTCAACTAGTTCTGGGGAATTAGGGTGTCTCTTGGTGGAAGCAGACCTCCTTTGGTAACCAAGTCCTTTAGAATGTGGGGTCCTGGGGGCTGGGAGCAAATAATTTCTAGAGGTCACAGTCAATAGAATCACCTCCATTTCTTCCTTTTAAATAAATTTAATATTTCTGTTTTCTTGGAAAGATGAGAGAGAGAGAAAGGAAGTGAGATCTTTCATCCATAGGGTTCACCCACCCCTGCACCCCTCAAATGCTTGCAATATCCAGGGCTGGGCCAGGCCAAAGACAGGAACCTGAAGGTGAAACTAGGTCTCTAATGTGAGTGGTAGGAACCCAAATACCTTTCTGGATCAGAACAGTGCACCCTTTCATGTGGGAGATCAGACCTGGGTTAGTTAGCATTGACGACACCAGTGTCACACACAAAAGCTAGGGCCGGGGCCCTGCCTGGCAGGGCTAGTTCACAGGACCTGCTAGTGAGTTTTAGGGAAGGAGGTAGGCCACATTAGGCTGGGCCTAACTGACATGCGGGAGAGCTGGGACTAGGGAAGATTCTGTGGGAGATTTGTGGACTTAACCTCTATGGGACTGCAATGCCTGCTAGTTTGTGTGAGAGCTGGGGACAGTGATGGGATGAGCTAGGCATGACCATGGAACCCTCTGACACAGAGACTGGGGTTGGACCAGGTTGGGCTGATGCAGCTGCAGCACATGCAGAAACACCAAATAATTGGATGTGGTGTGGGCTAGGCCACAACTTCCACTAGCTCATGCAAAGGCCAAGACAGAGGGTCAGACTATGCTGGGTAGGGATGTAACATCTGCTGGTACATATGAAAGCTGGTGGGGGAACTTGGGAAACTCCCATGGTGGGAGATCGAAAGAAATCACCCGACACTTGAGGGAGTCTCCAAGGTGCTTTATTCCGATCTTCCGTTGTGTCCGTTAACTCCGTTGTGACCGATATGACCGCTATGACTGTTACACTCCAGTTGCTCCCCCGCCAAGCCCCCCGCTTATCTGTCAGACCTGACCAATCAACTTAAAGATAACCAAGGCACACCAATCAGGGCAAAGGGCCAATCACAGGGCAGGAAATGGTCAGTGCCCCCAACAGCTCCCCCTTCTTTTTATTATTAAGCAAGGGACCGTGCCTGTCTTAGGTGTTCCAAGTTCGGGCTCCCCTTACCTGTCATGGGCTAACCACGTGGCTAGGAACGTGGCACCTGTCTTAGGTTGGTGAAGCCAATTCGGATTCTTACCTGACTCTGGCTACTGGTCCAGCATGCCTAGCCAGACTTCTGGGGATTCTCTGTTGTGAAGGGCAAGCACAGCTTGCACTAGCAGCTGCTGCTACTGCTGTTGACGCTGTGCTCAAGGATGAAGCATCCACAGACTCCAAAGAATGATAATTAATAAGATAAGGCCCAGGGCTACTATACCGGCCCATTGGTGTGCAAAGGAAAGATCCTTTAGTATCCAATTTGTCCATTGCTTTACTATGGCAATCTCTACTTTTGTGCTATTTATGGCTATAATTTGGGATCTTAGTTCCTAAGTCAAATTATCAAATCGTATGGACCAACTTCCACTAAGGGATAGCATAGCAGATAACTCTCTGGACAAATTCAATGCTCTGAACCATTGGTGACAATAGAGGGAGTGACACACATTCCAGGTAGACTAAGCACACAAGAGGTCCCCATATGATGGAAATAAGTTGTGGAATGCGTACCAGCACCGCAGTGCCAGAGCCATTCCAAGACTGGTTAAGGGCTCACTTAACTACAGAGCAATTCAAAAGGGTAACATTAGCACTCATGGAAAAAATAAACATAAATGGAGCTCGTACATATACATAAATAGCATTATAGATAACATCACAACTGCAATTAACTTTAACATTTTCTTCCCATATTCTCGAACTATTACTACTATAATTACAATTTCTTATCACTACCTTATCAATAAATGCAAAAGCTGATATATCTGAACACCTACCCCTACTAGTGCAAAGTACCCAGGCATTCCAAGACTTAGCAGAAACAGATTGAACAAGGTTACCACATGTATAGTTATACCCCACAAAGGCAGAATTTGAACAGGTAGGAAATAAATTGGTCACAGCAATTTCAGGTGCTATTCTTCTAGGAGTCACAGTACTTTGACAGCAGTCCATTCTGGGGGCCATTTCCAAGGCCCTAGACAGTGAGTCAATATTTGCTGCACCCCTTTTATGGTGCAGTTTTAGCTGGAGATTCTGGCTGTCTCCTCTTGGTATCTGAATGAACATCAGGCTGGTCAGCATCCACCACGTCCACAGGTTCATCTTGCTCTGGCTTTCTTATCACTCGCGTCAAACGTTCTGGCACCCACACAGGTCCGTCAGAATCCTGCGGAAAAACAGAAACAGCTCCTCGCGTCCGTCGTAAGACAGGATGCGGGCCCATCCATTGTTTTGTTAAAACATCCTTCCACATCACCCAATCTTTGCAGGGGCCTTCGCCAACAGCGTGGCGTTCGGCAGCAGAATGGCCATCCAAATCCAGAATCAAAAAATTAAAAATATAAGTAACTAAAGCCAATTGATGTTTAGGACTACTGGGATATAGGGTGGCTCCTACTCCCCCTTTTTGTTTTATTAATAATGCTTTGAGAGTTGCATGGGCACGCTCTACCACAGCCTGGCCCGTAGGATTATATGGGATGCCAGTGGAGTGTTTAATAGCAAATTCAGAACAAAACTTATCAAATGCTTTGGCTGTATAGGCAGGTCCATTATCAGTCTTATAACACTGGGGGACTCCCCAGGCTGCAAAAGCCTGAAGGCAATGAGATATAACATCTTGAACCTTTCCCCTGTATGAGCTGAGGCATAAAGAACCCCAGAGCAGGTATCAATTGAGACATGAACAAAAGAAAGGCAACCAAAACTGGGAACATGGGTAACATCCATCTGCCATATATGATTAGGCACAAGACCACGGGGATTAACCCCAAAGCAAGGCTGGGATAAAAATGAGACACAATTTTGGCATTGTCTAATAATACAAAAATATGGTTGGATCCAATTAGTATACCCCAATACCTGCTGGAAATCATTAAGCGTCTTTAAACCATCTATTCTGATTTTTTTTTTTTTTTTTTGCGTTTCCATAAGACTTTCTCACCTTCCTGTATACGTCCTCTGAATTTATCAGTGCCACCTGTCAGGTAAGACTTAATCAATGTCCAGATCCTGACCCTTCCTGGAGGAAGGGGATCCTGCTGTTCTGCCCTAGCTAAA